CAATAGTCATCCCTTATAACGTTTACCTGCAGGTATGGGTGTTACTCGTTTTCCAAGCTTGTGAAAAAAGTCTTCACTTGTGTCCTTATAAAATGAAGTTCATAATAAAAAACAAGATTTTAATACCTAAATTATGATTTCTTTTAAAAGCAAAAACAGGACTATTTAACTAAAAAAGATTTTAATCCTATCAATAATTCTCAAAGTACTAAAAATATATCACGGATTGAAGAAAATCCTACAAGTATCCAATAAAAAGTATAATATACACAAAAGTCAAACTGTTCTAAGTGTAAGTGGTGAGAAAATTAAACTTAATTATATGTTTTTAAAATATTTTTATTGAATTATACAGAAAAACAAAAAGTAGAAAAAAAAGTAGGAACATTTAAATCCAAGCTGCGTTTTAACGTTTTCCTGCAGGTGGGGGTGTTTCTCCAGGTCTTACGATTCTCCTTGTTGTACCTTGTACCACTACCGGTGCTTTAGTTGTTGAGGTGTGGTCCGTATAGGTATACTCTCGAGTTATCGAAGGGAACGAATCTGTGGCCGTGCCTACACCTGTACCCGTGCCTGGTCCTGTTCCTGTCATTGTAATGACTGGTACACATGTTAAGCCAGTAATATAAAAGACGAGGATAATGATTAACTTAAGTACACTTGGATTCATTTCTTGTACGTAATGTTTAACAAAAATATTCAGACAAATACTGTGATTTTATAACTGTAATCCGATGTATTTATACCAATCTTCTTGCTTGAAAATAAAATCATTTTATGTTGATCAAGCCTATATACAGAGGTTAAGTCAATATACAGAATTCTGGCATGTACAATATTTCAATAATTCGAAGTCACCTTTATAAATAAATAAATATTTGCAAAAGTAAATATATTCTGAATCTGATATAACGTTGAGTTTTAATAAAAATTTTAAGCTGTTAAATTGTGGATTAAGGGTAAAACACCTTTGCAACCTTATATCCAATATTTACAGTTGTTTGTTTCATCCAATGTGAGAATTACTTCAATATGTTCGGTAAACCAAATCGCATGTAAGATTGAACTATACAGCACTTAGTTTAAAGACCGCAAAGCCTGAAGAAGTTTTGATGTGCACATCCGATAAAATGTTTGAGTACTTATATGAAGCGTTATGCCGATAATCCTAATCTGCAATATTTAAGCTTTCGTTTTACGAAAGACGTCTTAAAACGTCTTAAAACGACTTAACTTTATTTAAGTAAATAAATGAATTTGTTGTTGTATGACATCATATGGGATTTGTTCAAATAAGTATAAAGTATAAAGTGGTGGTTCAATACAAAGCATTACTTGTTATATCTCTCAAAATGTCATTCGGATCACCTGCCATTTTGAGTCTTAATCCTAGAAGTCGCTGTATTTATTCCGTAAATATACGTATTTGAAAAGAAACTAAACCAAAACTATATATTATTACAATATCAAAGTTGTTAATCGAGTTCACAGGTATAACTATTATAATTTATTTATTAAAGATTCTCCAGTTCACGTTTTCTTCTCGTTTTTTCTTTGTGTTTCTTCGATTTATTTGCACAATCTTAAGAATACCTACATTAATTTATAAGCCAGCGCTGCTTCTTCTTTATTTTTCGAAAACGGCTCATGAAAGATTGTAGTAATTTCGATGCGAAGGAATTCGGGTGAAACTCAAAGAGAAGTGCACATAATTTTTTACATTTCTCAATTTCTTTTACTACAGTAAGTATATGAATATCGCGGTAAAGGCTCTCATTGGGAACATATCAAGAGATATTTGTTATCATTCGAAGAACACTTAACAGGAAATATTTAATTGTTAAGATATTAAGGTGCGTGAAAGGTGTTTAGAGCTGTATTTTGATGATACTGCCGTCTTTTATAAAATCGGGTATCTTTCTTTGAATATAATTATAATCAATGATCTCTCTTCCTTACCTGTATTTAAATTAGCATCAAAGCTTAGATTATCACATATCACAGAAAAAAATAATTAAGAAAAGTTAGGAACATTTGAATGAAATTTGAGTTCAATAGTCATCCCTTATAACGTTTACCTGCAGGTATGGGTGTTTCTCGTTTTCCAAGTTTCTGAAAAAAGTCTTCACCTGCTTCCTTAAAAAATGAAGTTCATAATAAAAAACAAGATTTTAATACCTAAATTATGATTTCTTTTAAAAGCAAAAACAGGACTATTTAACTAAAAAAGATTTTAATCCTATCAATAATTCTCAAAGTACTAAAAATATATCATGGATTGAAGAAAATCCTACATGTATCCAATAAAAAGTATAATATACACAGAAGTCAAACTGTTCTAAGTGTAAGTGGTGAGAAAATTAAACTTAATTATATGTTTTTAAAATATTTTTATTGAATTATACAGAAAAACAAAAAGTAGAAAAAAAAATAGGAACATTTAAATCCAAGCTGCGTTTTAACGTTTTCCTGCAGGTGG